GGGGGTCGGGTGGCGAGCAGCCTCCCCGGGGCATGGCCGGCAGCAAGGAGCACCCCGGCGGGGAGAGTCCGGGCTGGGCGGTGCGGGTCCCAGGGGTTGTCCTCACAGGCTGAGGAAGTCCTCCTTCCGGTAGCCCTTCTGCACGAGACAGGCCACCCGTCACACGGGGGGGACACCAGCGCCGCCGCCGCCTTCCCCACCCGAGGACAACCCTGCCCGCGCCTCGTTGGGCAGTGGAAGTCAAACACGAACCCGCTCTGCTCGGGGCGACGCTGGCCCCACCTTGGGCACGCGGTTGTCCCCACCCCACCGGTGCAGGTGCCACCAAGGGATGATGCTCCGGGGGTGTCCCCACCCCTGCCCATCGTATGCTTGGAAGCATTGGGGTGGTGTGGCTTTCTGGGCTGAAGCCTCTAGTCTTGACTCCCTTGGGATCCACCCTGGGGTCCTGGGCACCGGAGGGGGCACCGGAGGGCGGTACGTACCATCTTGAAGTCCCGGTGGAGCTTGGTGTATTGCCACATGTTGCCCAGGAGGCTGGCTGCTGCTCTGGATGACTTCTCGTTGTCCGAGCTGGGGCAGGGACAGGATGCAATGAGTTTTGGGTACCACCAGCCATGGGACAGTGCCCATCAGCCGAGGATACCGCCCCCAGCAGGGCCCAGAGGGGCTGAGGACTTAGCGCTGGTGGGGAGAGGCAGAAGACCGAAGGGTGGAGCCCTCCTGCGATGGACAGGGTGGGAAGTGCTTCTGGCAGGAGAGGTGAGAAGCACCCAGATGGAGAGAAGGTGGCGGCAGTGATGGGCAACCCCATAGTGGGGTGTCCCGAGGAGGTGGCAAAGGAATGGGAGGTGGCCAAGGAATGGGAGGTGGCCATGAGGCCACCCTGAGCTGGTCTGGGGACTCCCAATGCCAAGCCTTGGGAAGGGAGGCTGGTTGTGACCCTCTTCCACCTCGCTGGACCAGGAGAGGAGAGAGCAGGACTGGACCCCAGGCCCGAGCTGGGACGGCAGAGGGGATGGGGAGCCCTCACCTGTCCCTTCTCTTCTTGATGTAGAAGAGCTTCCTGAGGCCATCGAAGTAAACGATGTCACGGGCGGCCATGGGGCTCTCCACTACCAGGTTGTTGAGGACAGCGATGATGTTCACGATGACATCAGCGGGCGGTGCCTTGTCCCCGACGCTCCCCGGCAGCTTCTCGATCAAGTGGCTGACCACCTTGGTGGCTGGTGGGCAAAGGCATCACATCAGGGCTGGTGGCCAGACCCAGGGGACATGTGGCAGCCTGGGGACAAACCCTGCAACCTCCCGGGGGCAATGAGGGGACAGAGGGCTCAGCCAAGGACCTGCAGGGCAGCGCTGGGGGCATCTTCAAGCCCTTTGGCTCCCTAGAGCCTCTGCTGAGACCCCCTGGGAGCTGAGCTGGGGGACAGGGGGGCAAAGCCGAGCGAGATGGTGGCAGAGCAGGACACGTGGGGGCTGTTTGGGGATGGACCGGCCTTCGTGCAGGCAGCTGTGGGCAGGGGTGCAGCAGGCAGGAGGGCGCTGAGAGGCAGCTG